ATAATAATCATGAACTATAACCAGGGCCAAAAATCTAACTCAGTGCCAGGACACTGTGGTTCACAAACCTACAGGACAAGAGTATGACAACATTTCTCCTATAATTGTAACTACTGAATGTTCTTGTTTATCTGGCACCCATCAGGACTTTCTTTAGCTGAAGTTAGCCATGCTGTGCTTAGAGGCTTATGAATGAACAACTTGATAATGGCTCACTGGATTAGGGATATATTTCAGCATCATGAGCAGGCATTTTACAATCATTTGGACACTCAGTCATCAGGTTTATGTTCTGAGTTCTGGTCTTCTCTTGAATTAGACCAGAGTAATTATACAACAGAAGCCAAGTAAGGTACTGGCATAAAGGCAATTAACCAGAGGGTTCAGGTTCTGTTCCAGGGTCCATCTCTCCCTTTTGAGTCACTTCTAGATAACTGGTACACTCAATCTGGATAAGTACAGGTTGTAGACTGTCATTGTCATTAGGCAACAAGCCTCGGGTTCAGAATCCAGTCTCTGCCTCTCTCTTGGATTAGACAGCCTGACATTTCTTTAACACCACACAGTCTACAGCCGATTGAAGACTAGCCTCAATACACACCCAGTGGGTTCCTGATTTAGTTTCTGCCTCTCTCTTGGATTAGACAGACTGAATTTACCTTAACGCAATATAAAACTTATGGCAAATTGTAGACTGCCAATACTGCAGCCAGCCAGTGGGTTCAGAATCTGGTTTCTGCAAACTTTCTTGGATCACACAGAATTATTCTTCACACCATAAACACAGTCCACTGCAGATTGTGGACCGGTATTGATACAGCCAGCTAGTGGGTTCAGGATCTGGTTTTTGCCGTTCAGTTGGATTAGACAGCATGACATCTCCTTAACACCACATACCCTTGCAGAGTGGGGACTGCCATTACCACAGCCAGCTAGTGGGGACCATCTTTATGCCTACAGCAGGCTTCTATGTTGGACAAAGTTGGTGAATTTCCTTTCTTGCACAGTCTCTAACCTTGAATTACTATCTGGTCACTTGTGGTCCCAAATAGGTCCCAGACACAGTCTCTGCCAAATTCTGCTTCTCACGCATTAACCAGTTTCCACCCATCTATTTGTAGATTCCTAGAATAACTTTTTCCCCAGTACCAACTTGCGACGCTGATTGGAGAATTCAATTTCTTCGGCGCCTCCGCTAGAGTTCATTCACATACCTCTGCCGCCTAATTTTAAGTTTTTGATTTATTTTAAATAAACTTCCCTCCATTATTAGTGTGGTTAATCTTTCTGGAGAGGGAGATTTATATTTGTCTCATGACACTGACTCTACACTGAAGGTTGACTGAAATCGATCTCCAACATCTCTGTCTCTTGCCTTTGGTGTACACTTTATGAGACCACTGTATGTTTATATTTCAATGCTGTCTTTCCTCACATATCATTGTCTACTTCCTGCTCACCTTCCTTCAATTTTCTCTCTTCTATGGTTTTTATAATAGTTTTTTCTTTTAATGAGGCATAAACATTGTCTTCCTTTTTTATTACTTTCAACAACCTTCTTCATTCCCAATCTCTTTAGGAAGCCTACATTAAAATTTGTCATATTTTTCAAAATTTCTGTGAAATACAAGCTTTCCTTCAGAATCACCACTTCTTCAGAAGCTCAGTTTGACTCTCTGATTGCATATTCAAATAGAGGCACTTGACATTATCTAATAGCAGCTGTAAGCGTGTACATTAATGTGAAATAAATTGTGCACCTTTTAAAAGCAATGTCAAGCCTGAACATATTCTACACTGCATAATTTATAACAACTGTGAGAATGTGTTTGGATTATTGTCTAATAAAATGAGGACAGAAATAGTTAAGTGGTAGATATTTGGTCAGGATGCAAAGTGTCTGCTACTTCACATATACTACATCACAGTTAATAAAGTGTGATGGCCAGTTCCGTAGCTCTGTGCGTTTGTCATTTCTGCTTTTCGAGCAGTTGTGCATTAATTTTACCAACTGAATTGAATCAGGTTGTATGACCCCTGTGAGCATTTAGTGCTGTTAACATATATTTCACATTGCATACCTTACAGCACTGAGACTGTTAACTGTTAACATATATTTCACATTGCATACCTTACAGCACTGAGTGTTGTTAACAAATTTTTTTTGCATTTAACAGAGACTGAGTTGTTAACTGTTAACAAATAATTTTTTCGAACAGCACTGAAACTTGGGAGAGAAGGAAAACAGTGTTTCATTTGTTTATTTCAGAGAAGTTCTGTAATAGTTTTCGACATGAACAGGAGCGTTTTGTGATTCATCAGGGCATTCTGCACTAGTGACTGGCTACTGAAAGGTATGTACACCATTACATGTTTGTACTGTGGTGTTTTTGTGCAGTTTTGGATGATTGAAAAGTTCAAGAGTATGAGCATTGTAAAGAGATTGTCCGATCAAATAATATTTATTTCCTTCTGTTCTTTGTAAAATTCTCAGTAAACTAGAAACGGTGTAGTAGTTAAGTGAGCACAAGAAAAAAAAAAAACTTTTTTCATACCATTAAGTAAATCAAATACTTTTTTCAGGCCTTTAAATATATTGAATACCATTTTGTCATGCCTTTAAGTATATCGAACAAATGATGGTGGCTCCATTTTATTATAGTTATATAGCATTTGATGGGCTGTGTGGTGAATATCATGCCAGCGGCGTTTAACTTTGTAGAACATTGCTTGAAACTTTACTTTTTAGGCTGTTTTGACCTGTTATATATCTATTCAGAGATAAACACAAAGAAATGAATGGTGGAGGTGGAAAAATCTTTCTAATGACATGACATCTTTATGTCTTTTGAATGATATATTTACCACAAAAAAAAAAAAACGAAAGAGCTTACTAATTATTTTAATAAATAAACGTGTATGCATATGTTTGTGCTGATTTCAGTTTTCAGAAAGGTCATTTAGCAGTAGAAAAATCCCTTAATTAAAAAAATTAAAATTAGTTAAAAATTGTTAATGAAAATGAGCTTTATATTACATTCCTAATAAAAATACATTTAGTGACAGGAACATTTCTTGTGGATATTAACGCTTTCAGTCACAACGAACGCATCATACATTCATAGGTTCCTACCTAGAAGCCCAATGAATGTGAGATGTGCCAATTTTACGTTTCTCTTTACTTCCACTTGGGCCTCTGATGTTAAATCCCCTGGGACTGAAAGAATTAGGAATTAAAGCTAACAGAAAATAATGACAGAAAACTGTGGTCACTTTTGAAAACTGTGTGGGTTGAGAACAGATATTTGTTTATAGAATAAAAACTGTCCCTTCATTATAGTCATGTAGTTCAGTTCATATTGAGAAAGGCCCCCACCGAAACGTGAGTTTGTTTTGTGCATGTTGTTCTGCTTCCCCATTTCTTTAAGCTTTTTAGTCACCCCCCCCCCCCCCCTTTTTTTTTTTCATTATACTAGGGGAGGTGGAGAATACTAGCACTGAAACTGACTATGCATGTTGTAAGAGGCAAATAATGAGGGTTGGTGTGATACCGCTACTTCTTCTCCTCCTTCTGCTCTTAATTTTCCTAAAGAAAATAATGGCCTAAACCAGCTTGTGCCAGGCATTTGTTATTAGTGCAGCACAGCCGGTAGAAATCTTTAGATCATCACCATCATCATGAATTTCCACTTCTGCCATTAAGCGTTGTGGGGAGGAACAATTTGGGATCCATTGCTTGATGGACAGCATTGGTTAATGTCATTCTGTGTCGATTAGAAGCTCTTTAAAGTCATCAGTCTGTATTCTCCTAGGGCGCCTCTTGCTTTCACTTCAGATCTTTTCATGTTTAGCGCCTACGTTGGTAGTTGTTCTGGCTGCATTCCTACTAAAACCATTTGATCTTCTGTTTCTCAATTAATTTGCTGCATGGTGTTGTTCCTCCAGTCTGTCTGATAATATTATTTCTAACTTTGTATCGAATAGGGTAGTGGGCAGCTTTTCTCGAGCATCCCATTTTGCAGGTGTTAGTTTGATAGTGTTCAAGTCTGGCACTGGTAGCACAATATTGGTAAGAATATGCTGTTTATAATGTTTCTTGTCGCTCATACTTATATTTGGAAGTCTTAACAATGGTGTCACTTGGTATTTAAGTAGGCTTGTTGGCCTACTTTAGATGCAAAATCTAAATGTATACAGAAATCTTTGTATGAGTTGGCTGATGGCCTATGCTCCGGGAGAGGTGAAAGGAAGAAGAGTAGAATCAGTTTAACATGTCAGCTGCTGTCACGAACCTGTAAACTGTATAGATGACAACATATTAGAAAAGTATTAAAAACCTTTTGTACAGATCACATTGAACAGAGATAATCAGTTGGGAGAACTATATGATTAGTTTATTGTTACATGTGTTAATGATGTTGGGCTGGCATCCTTTGTTAAAACTGACAGAAGCTGTTCCTGTGGGAGTATCAGGAGTGCCTTAGCATTGGCTTTTTGAAAGACAGCCATGTTCATTGATAACCCCTTGTACTTGAGGGAATAGAGCAAACGAAGAAAGGTATAAATACATCCAGAATTCTTCTTTTTCCTTCTCTTCCTTCTTCTGCATTTTCTTTAAAAGGGCAGTTGCTACATTATCTTGTGGTTTACAGCTTGGATGCGATCACCCCAACATGTATGATTTCAGCTGACCCTTAATTAGTGGAATTTTACAGCATGCCACTTGTCAAGGGACAGATTGGTGGTAGACAAGAATGAGAAGTATAATCACTAGAGATTGGTTGTAGACAAGAATGAGAAGTATAATCACTAGAGATTGGTGGTAGACAAGAATGAGAAATATAATCACTAGAGATTGGTGGTAGGCAAGAATGAGAAAATCACTAGAGATTTGTGGTAGACAAGAACGAGAAGCATAATCACTAGAGATTGGTGGTAGGCAAGAACGAGAAATATAATCACTAGAGATTGGTTGTAGACAAGAACGAGAAATATAATCACTAGAGATTGGTGGTAGGCAAGAATGAGAAAATCACTAGAGATTGGTGGTAGGCAAGAATGAGAAAATCACTAGAGATTGGTGGTAGGCAAGAATGAGAAGTATAATCACTAGAGATTGGTGGTAGGCAAAAACGAGAAGTATAATCACTAGAGATTGGTGGTAGGCAAGAATGAGAAGTATAATCACTAGAGATTGGTGGTAGGCAAGAACAAGGGCTATAATCACTAGAGATTGGTGGTAGGCAAGAATGAGAAGTATAATCACTAGAGATTGGTGGTAGACAAGAATGAGAAGTATAATCACTAGAGATTGGTGGTAGACAAAAACGAGAAGTATAATCACTAGAGATTGGTGGTAGACAAGAATGAGAAGTATAATCACTAGAGATTGGTGGTAGACAAGAATGAGAAGTATAATCGCTAGAGATTGGTTGTAGACAAGAATGAGAAGTATAATCACTAGAGATTGGTGGTAGGCAAGAACGAGAAGTATAATCACTAGAGATTGGTGGTAGACAAGAATGAGAAGTATAATCACTAGAGATTGGTGGTAGACAAGAATGAGAAGTATAATCACTAGAGATTGGTGGTAGACAAGAATGAGAAGTATAATCACTAGAGATTGGTGGTAGACAAGAATGAGAAGTATAATCACTAGAGATTGGTTGTAGGCAAGAATGAGAAGTATAATCACTAGAGATTGGTGGTAGACAAGAATGAGAAGTATAATCACTAGAGATTGGTGGTAGGCAAGAACATGGGCTATAATCACTAGAGATTGGTGGTAGGTAAGAACAAGAAGTATAATCACTAGAGGTTAGTGGTATAGGTAAGAACCAGAAGTAAAATGGCTAGAGATTGGTGGAGGTAAGAACAAGCAGTATAATCACTAGAGATTGGTGGTATGCAAGAACATGAGTTATAATCATTATACTACTTTCCTCATCACATGACCAAAGAACTTTGTTTTAGCGATAGTAATCTTACAATATCACGATATACAGGGCAACAGTTGTGATATGAGCAGTGTTCACAAATACTAGGTAGTAACATGATGTTGGTAAGTTAAAGATCTGTTTCACGTTGGTGGCGCGCCGGGCATATGATGCTAGACAAAAACTGTTTGTAGACCATTAGACAGCCAATGGGTGATGCGGTCAACATCGGCTGCCTCTACTTCCCAAGATTTTTCTAGGTACCAGTTTGAGTTTGGGTTGACCAGTGCTCCAATCTCCCCCTTCCCACTGTCAAATTCAAGATCACAGGTGGGCGTTAATCGCTAGGCTCTTTTGTCTCCCGCACACACACACACACACACACACACACACACACACACACACACACACACACACACACACACACACACACACACATATATATATATATATATATATATATATTTTTTTTTTTTTTTTTTTTTTTTCAAGCATTGCACGTCACTAGTATCCTTTCACATTCTGCTGCACTTCCCCAAACCCCATACTGTTTAAAAAAAAATTGTAATAACGTCTATTCAAAGTAAGTGAAGGGTGGGTTTTGTTTTAGTCCACAGACACATCAGACATTTGGAGGTAGACCCATGTCGTGTTTGCTCGTGGTATAAGTGTGTTGCCTGTCCTTTACAAGATCGTTACAGAACCAACTCCGGCATTTGTTGGCTGTTGCGAGTTTTTAGGCACATTTACGTTCTCTAATTTGCCGTTGTTTGCCGGGACGGACGGTCTGCTCTTGGAACCACTGTCGAAACCAAGGCAAGGCGGTGTGCTGCCAAAATTGCCTGGAGCTGGGTACGAGCCTGGCAACTCGGCATTACGAAGCGCGTTCGCACCGCCTAAGCCACAGTCGCCGCCGGCACCTGGTAATGTCCATTAATCCTTGCTAATTTATTTATTAAAACAATCTTGCTGGTTTTTTTTTGTTTCAATGTATTGTGTCATTTTCCCCTTTAGTGCTGAAAAGCAAACAGGACATAGGAGATCTCGGAAAATTTTAAAGCGTGCACACGATTTCAGGACATGTGTGACGTCGCCACACTGGAGATTTATCTTTGATAGCCAGCATTCGGTTTTGTTGTTGTTGTTGTTGTTGTTGTGTTCACTGAACTGGAACTCGGCTTGTCCTTGATTTGTAGTTCACAGTCTACCTGTGTTTGGTAGTGTCTAATTCGTGTTGTCAATAATTAAAAATAATTAGAGGCAAATAAAGATATCTGACAATTGATCTATCCGTCCATATCAGTGACTTTAAATCTTCTTAACGCTGCGACCTTTTAATACAGTTACCTTATGTTGTGGGCACCCCCAATCATTTTCCTTCATAACTTCAATGAATATGTGTTTTCCGACGATCCTAGGCGACCTCTGTGAAGGGGTCGTTTGACCTAAAAAAAAAGGGGGGTCGCTCGACCTAAAAAAGGGGTAGTTCGACATTTAAAAAAAGGGGATCGCAGGTTAAGAACCGCTGTCCTATATCCTCTTCATGTCGTTATTGATCTTAATTGTAGTTTTCTGCCTGCTGTCCTGTTTTCTACCTGCTGTCCTGTTTTCTGCCTGCTGTCCTGTTTTCTGCCTGCTGTCATGTTTTCTGCCTGCCGTCCTTCCCCAAGTTTCGTTATGTTGTCCAGGTCCCCTTTTCCCGTCTGCCGTCTACCCGAGAGCTATCCTTGCCAAAGTGTCACGAGGTATTCTGAAACCATGTCAGTATCGTCGCAATATTCTTCTTTTGATAATGTGAGCCAGTGTTGAGTATTTATTTGTTCTCCTCAATTCTTTGTTTTTGATCTTGTTTGGTCGAAACGTTTGCGGGAGACATTTATTGTGAAAAGACTGTTCCGTGTATGACTAATTTCCCCTGCCATTCCTAATGTTTAGGTCCGTAGGTAGGGTCAATAAAACACATAGAGGTTTTCCTTAAAATCTGGGTTTGTTCTTTTTGTATGTCGTCACTGTGTGGTGGGTGCCCAAGGCCGACTTCAGTATCTAAGACGGCCTTGGCGGTGACCCACACCCTTCTCCCGGGGCCATTTGATGTATCTATCGTTACTGCCTGACTGATGACTTCCCATACATTCAGACGTGGTATTGCTGATGATACCTCGAACAAAGTCTCTCTCTCTCTCCCCTCTGTGTGTGTTCATGTCTGTGTGTGAGTAGTAGTGGTGGGGGAAAGGGGACAAATCTTTTCTTATCCATGCTTTCGGCCAAACAGTACTCCTGCTTTTCTTAACAATCAATTGTGTGCTCTGCCGATAAGCACAGACTGCCATTTTCGCCATCTCACACGATTACCAGAATCACGGATCGGGTCAGTACTGTTCTCGTGCCCCATCCATATTGCCAAGCGGTCCACGTATTTATCTATTTGCCGCCCACTTGCTAATTTCCACACAAACATACACACTGATTGAATACATCTAAATTTCTCTAACCTGTTTATGGTCAGTTTGTTATCTGTCTATAGAACATACCTCCCCGATCAAACGCCCCTTTTTATTTCAGGTTCTCTAAAGAAATGTAAGGATCTGGTGCTTGCATACGTAACTGATGAGACACAGCACCTTCCTGCAGAACACACCCAGATCCTTTTTTGTTGTTGACAAGAGCAGAGAAAAAAAAAAAAACTGTCACTGTGCTCCCCTGAAATGAAGATTCAATGGGTTATAGCCCTTAAAATGCTAATAATTAAAATTGCTTGCTGACGGATCAATACTCAGGTCACGGGGTCAAACCAGGGCCATTGCAGAATGTGACCTATTTTATAGCTTTTACATTTTCTGTCCCCTGCTGTGACTGATGAAAAAAAAGCATGCAAAAACCACTATAAAGGAAAAGCACGCTCATACTTGCCTTTCGTCTCGTTTGCTTTCAGTCGATTTGTCACTCATTCGACTCGTAATACCTTTTGAAGGACGCTTAGTTCTTTGTACTCAGTAGAGGGAAAGAGGAGAAGAGGCAGACCAAAACAGACCTAGTTACAGAACCCGAATGACTGGAGAGGCCCCAAGCATGCAAGTATCAAGTCCATCGCAACTGACCGTCAAAAAAAAAAAAAAAGGGGGGGGGGGGGGGAGAGAGCTGATTAGACAGTCAACAGAAACTGTTGACCCAACAACACGTAGTGTCACGGGATGATGATGAATGTCCTGTAACGTCTATCTCTTTTTGCCGAATTCAAGTGCCATTTTAGCTTGTTTTAGTGTAGAAAGTTTTGCTCGTGGGGCTTTTGGGCCCCATTATGAGGACAATAAAGACTATACCTACTGCCCCTCTCCCTTACAAGCATGTTACAGGAGGCGACAGATTGGTAATGTTACCTTCGAAGCCCTAGTGCATCTGTCTGATATGCGAAGAACCAGCAATCAGCATACAGATAAGCCAGATCTGTAAAATGGATGAACTTGCAAAACTCGATTCTGGAACCAGACCAGAGTCCACAACTGGACGAACATCCATAACTTTCCGCCGGAGTTTACAGCCGGGGAACGCTTAGAAGAATAAGTGGAGTAAACGATTGTGACCTCAACTGTTCCGTACCATACAGTTCACCATACGTTCCTTGGGCTCTCCGACGAAAGTAGTATACTCTTTAGTCTCTCATCTGTCACAGTTTTACATTAACTCATTAAATCGGAGTTGTTTGTTTCCCCCCTTCTTTCCCTGGTTTTTTTGTGGGAGGGTCGGGGGGGGGGGGGGGGGGGGGGGGGGTTAACTACAGGGTCTTCTCGACTTACGACTGAGTTCCGTTCCAACTAAAAGGTCGTACTTCGAACTGATCGTCAGTCGAATTTATATTTTTCTTCCAGAGGTGTCTGTTTCCAAACAATGGCCGTATGCTCTTTTTGTTTTACTGATTATGGACGCGTGTGGCGGTGATGGAGTGCTGTTTCCGCATCGATAACTGACTGCAGTGGTTAACTGACTTTCTGTGTATCTTGATTGCTGACTGCGACAAGCTGTTTCCTGTCATGTCCTCAGTTAACATTGGTTTTTGGTAGACGATTTTGTTTCAGAATAGTTTGTTATTGATGTGCAAGGTCAGTGCCATAGAAACATAGTGGACAGATAGTTATAGCTGGTCTGCTCCTCTTGGTAGGCCAGACGATGATGTTGATAGTTTATCCCGTGAAGCCATATTTTAAGTGATAATGGTCGCACAAATAATCTTCATGTTCAGTTTTAGGAATATATCGATTCAAACTTGGAATAAACATAGGAGCTGTAATGCGATTAACAAGCGGCGCCACTGATTAAACCGCTAATGATCTTGTGTTTAGATAAGGGGGACGTCTTTGCGTAAAAATGATTTGTGTCTATAACCGATGTTACGTATATTATCTATAAATGACATCGTTTAGAACAATCTTGCTTATAAATGATATTGCATTTAAACGATGTTACTTATAGTCAGGTCTACAAACGACATTGTCTATAAAAAGTCTTTTCTGTAAATGCTATTGGTTGTGAATGACTTTGCCTCCAGTTAGGGTTTCATGCCTCCATTTTTAAGGAAAAAGAGTCAATTAACTTCTCCCGTTTCAATCATGTCGGATCTTTCCTTCGAGATCGGGAGTGCATCTGCATGAGAGGCAAGGACCCAGCAGTCTGCGTACAAATAAGCCAGATTTGTAAAATGGATGTGCACGTGAAACTCAATCTCTGTAACAAGACTAATGTCCAGAATTGGGCGAACAGCTGGAATTCTTTGCCAGAGTTTGCAGCCCCTAAACGCGAAGAAGGAGAAGAAGAATAAACTTGCCTATACGGGATTTTTGT